CACAGTGGCAAGCTGACCTGTATCTTATATGGAAGAATTAGATTTGACTCTGGGGCTCAGGTGCAGAGGGCAGGAGGGGCATAGGGGTGGCCCTCATGGAAGAAAACAAGTCCTTGGATACTGAGTAACAGCTGAGACTAGCAAGCCTCATTGTCCAGGATTCCAAGTCGTCTAGCAACATCCTGGCCTCTGCTGCAGAGAGAACAGAGGATCCCCCGGCAGAATGAATGGAGTCTGATTTCAATTACGTTCAGTATAGTCACTCTCTTTAGGCAGAGAAGCCAGAACACCTGGTGCAGCTAGGGCCACTGTGGTCACAGGGACAAGCACACTACCTGGGTCCTGGAGGCAAGTGGGAATGCAGCTTCTCTTCCTTAAGCAGATGCCATATAGGCCTGGGGAGGAGAATGTGAGAATACCAGCCAAGTTCTCATTGGCACTATACGGAGAAAGGGGAAATATTTCATCTTGATGGATTCTCCCCACAGTCTCTGCACATATTGATCTTACTTATAATGAGTTTGTTCAGATTCACGAGTCATCATCCCAGGGAGATCTGAGTCATTGGTGGGAAAGTCGAGGTGACAGATTATATCTCGCTGATCTCACTGTCACCAATTGCTCTGTGTGTCCCTCCACCTTTTGAAAAAGCCCGTGGAATCATTTGTGTATAATTAATTTGGATTTATTTCTTATTTATCAATAGCTTTAGTGGGGTATTGTAAATGGGAAAGCTACCCCAGAGAACAGTGTACATTCACAGTATTATTCAATAGAACTTTCTGAGATGATGAAAATCTTCTATATCTTATGTTGTCCAGTATAATACAGCCGCTAACTACATGTAGCTTTTGAACACTGAAAATGTGGCTAGTGAGACTGAGGGATTCTATTTTTAATTTTTTAATGTTGTAATTAATTTAATTTTTAAAAAGTTTTGCTTTCTATTTTATAGCTTAATAATTAAACTAAACTTACATAGCCCACATGTGGCTAGTTGGCCACTATACTGGACAGTACAAGTCTAGAAAGATCTCAGAGAGACACATGCTGAGATACAGCAGGAATAGGTTAGTCAGAAAGAGAGCCAATGTAACATAGGGAATTCTGGATTGGGAATTAGAGCCCTGGCTCTAATCTCAGCTCTGCCACTAGGTGACCTTGCCCTCTCTGGCTTCAGCCTCCCCATCTTTAACTTGAAAGGTTAAACTAACTAACGTCAAAAGTCCCAAAATCGTGGCTATGGACTGAATTCAATTTGGGATACATAAGTTTCAGGAATTTTTTTGAAAATCTATTAATGCCTTCTAGGTGTGTGTATGCACGCTTACAGGCATGTACCCATGCACAAGCATGGGACGGCAGTAAGGCATTCATTCCAGTTCACCAGTGTACTAACCATTCACACATACGCGCACACACACACACACAGACAGACACACACACACGCATGCATACACACCCTACTGTATTGCCTATGTAGACCCTGAAGGTCTTTGAATCTGTCACCATTGGATAAGATAATTTCTAACGACCCTTCCCGTTTTGTCATGCTGAAAATCTTTAAGCCACTATAGAGTCCCCAATCTATTTCAATTTGGGCAGATGACTGGAGTATTCTCATAGCTTCCTGTCTCTTCCCCTCTGAATTTGATACTAGTTATGAAGTTTGGCGTCAAGGATGAAGAAGGGAGGCAGGGAGGATATAACCCCAGCCCCACTCCTTAACTCCGCTTTTGGATTAGAAGTAGCGTTCAGGGCTTCAGATTCCTTGGGGAGGAAGTAGAGAGAATATGGGCTTTGTAATCAGAAGATGGGGTTCAGATGATTGGGTTCTTACTTTTTCAATAGCTGTGTTACCTCAGTTTATTCATTTGTAAAATAGGGATAAGAAATATCTTTAACCTCCTAAGATCATGTGGAATTAAGTGATGTAACGTGATGAAGCGAGGCATGCAGAAGGCCCTGAAAAAATAGTAGTTACCCTTAAGGGAACTAAATGGTCTGGCAACTTGTGAGCTCAAAGCTAGAAAGGCCCGGTGATGGGGAAGATGGGGTCTTTCTGCAGGAACTACAGCAGGGGAGCAGAACCTGTAGGCCACCAGTCTGTGGAGCTGTGTCCAAGAACTCATGTTTGCAACAAGTTCACCAAATGACAAGATATTGTGGGGTCCAGGCCTCTAACTCAAGAAGATGGTCTTGGCCCAGATCATACCTTGCAGCCTGTGCCTTTGGTGGGATGTGAGTGTTGGCAGTGGCTATGCATATCTCCTTATTACTGGCTGTGCCCAAGCCCTGCAGAAATGATTGTTGGACAAGGTCATCTTGCACTCAGGGTTAGTTTTCCAGGCTTCCTTGTTATTTTCCCCTGAGTTCTTCTGTGTTCCTCTTGCAACACCAACCCCACCATTTCCCTCTTCCCTACCTTAGTTGTTGGTCCAAACATGTAATCCATTCTTGCAGTGATTTATTGAGTGATACCGTAACTGGAGTTTGCATTGAAGGACTTATTTTTCTAATTAGAACTAAAAGTCAGTTCCAGGCTGGGTGTGGTGGCTCACGCCTGTAATCCCAGCACTTTGGGAGGCCGAGATGGAAGGATTGCTTAAGGCCAGGAGTTTGAGTCCAGCCTGGGCAACATAGTGAGATCCCATCTCTACAAAAAAACATGTTAGCCAGGAGTGGTAGTGTACACCTCTGGTCCCAGCTACTTGGGAGACTGAGGAGGGAGAATTGCTTGAGCCCAGGAAGTTGAGGCTACAGTGAGCTTTTATCATGCCACTGCTCTCCAGCTTGGGTGACAGAGGGAGATCCTCCCTCAAAAAATAAATAAAAACTACAAAAAAAAAATGTCAGTTCCAGGTTGTATCTTTTTTCACAGGGGCCAGACACAGATGAGGAGTAGGTTTTGTTGTATTTATCCATTTAAATTGAGCAATCAGCTTCTCTCTTTGGTTTATACCTTTCTTATTTATTATTATTATTTTAAAAGGATTAGAGATAAAGTGCTTTATGGTCTTTCTCAGTGCAACTGCTTATGCTAGACCTCAGAATTATGACCTCTTCAATTATTTATATTTCCGTCTTTATAAATACTGGAAAAAATAGTACAAAGTAAACATCGGGATGCCTAAGGACCTCTAAATTGTGTGTGAGCACATGGGGAAGATGGTTCTTAAGGTTTGAGTTTTGGATTATTGTGGTTGTCTTAAATAATGTTATTTCTATCATTCCTTCCAATGGCTGTCTCCTAGCACGGTTCCCATTTTACAGACTGATGGTAGAGGCAGAAAGATTCTCTCACTTCTTTGATAGTATTGAGGATTTCAGCCTTTCACCGCTCCTCTCCCCTTTGCTAAAAAAGAAAAAAATCAATATGTATGTTATAGTGTATGTTCAACTATGAGCAACTATGTGTATTCAATGAGAAATGGAATACCATAAAATTACCATAGTTGAACCAAAATGATAGGATAGAATTCGATAGTCTGAGGATGGAAGGGAACTTCAAGGCCACTTTAAAAAACCCCATTCCCATATAATGCTTGAATTCTTAACCACTGTGCATCTAGTATTTGATCATTTCCAGTGATATGTGTGGCTGGCAACTTTTCCATCTCCCAGCGCTTTAACTATCAAAATGTATGTGTGTGTGTGTGTGTGTGTGTGCGCGTGCGCGCGCGCATGTATGTGTGTGTGTTTAGAGACAGAGAGAGACAGAAAGAGAAAGAGAGATTAAAATCCAAGTCACTGTTCTTTCTGGGACCCAAAAAACAAGTCTAGTCATTCTTCATTTCTAGTCTCTTTCCCTAGCAATTGGCTAGACATGCTAGACATAGACACATGTACATCACTCCTTTGATTTACAGCATTCAGTATTTGTCTATCACTTATAAGATAAAACCCATACTTACTTTTTATTTTTATTTTTTTAGAGACAGTGTTTTACTATGTCACCCAGGCTAGAGCATCAGTGGCACAATCATAGCTCACTGCAGCCTGGAACTGCTGGGCTCAAGCAATCCTTCCACCTCTGCCTCCTGAGTAGCAGAGACTACAGATGTGCACCACCAGACCTGGCTAATTTAGTTTTTTACTAATTTTGTGGAGATGGTGTAGTGTCTTGCTATGTTGCTCAGGCTGATCTTGAGGTCCTGGCCTCAAGTACTCCTCCCATCTCAGCCTTCCAAAATGCTGGGATTACAGGTATGAACCACCTTACTCAGCCAGATTTCTTAATATGATATACATGCTCCTTTAAAATCAAGCACCATCTTTGCTTTCAACCCCATTATTAACCACTTTCCCATATACGCAACATATGCTTCAGTCATACTAGTCTCTGGTTGTTCCCCAAACACTCCTCAGTGCTTTTGTTTATGCCCTTTCTGCCCACCTTTGCCTGGTGAAATCCTCATCAATCTTCAAATTCTAGGTCAAATACTATCTTTCATATAAAGCATTTTCTAAACCCACCTATGTAAAAAGATTAGTGGTTTCCTATTTTGTTGATGCCTCCATTGCAGCATTTTCCAGTCTGACTTTTTCTAGAATTGACTGTGGCAAGGCTACCAGCCTGGGCCAGGGCCTGTGTCTTTTCTGTCACCCAGAAGCAAAGGTCTAACAATGGATATCTGCTGAATGAATGAATGAAAACGAATCATTAATATAGTAGTAAACGAGTTAATTAAAGGTTCCAGGTATGAATACTGAAGCCTGCATTGAGGCAGAGCTGAATCCAAGACTATGTTAGGTTGGTCTGGCACAAGAATCAGAGTTTTCCTCTGCAAGCTATGAAAAATTTGGGTTTAGCACGGATTTGGGATGACGAATTATACATTCAACCAGTGTTGAATGAGCACTTGTCCTTAAGGAGTTTAGAGTCTGTGACCAGGAAGAATGATGATTTTCTTAGCTCGGGCAGTTTTTCTAACAAGGTAGTTGCATTGTGTGTTTTTGAACACTGATGATAAATTCAAGTTTCTCTTCCTGCCCCATAGCCCGGAAGCTGAAGAAACTTGGTAATCTGAAACTACAGGAGGAAGGAGAGGCTTCCAGCACCACCAGCCCCACTGAGGAGACAGCCCAGAAGCTGACAGTGTCACACATTGAAGGCTATGAATGTCAGCCCATCTTTCTGAATGTCCTGGAAGCCATTGAGCCAGGTGTGGTGTGTGCTGGACATGACAACAACCAGCCCGACTCCTTCGCAGCCTTGCTCTCTAGCCTCAATGAACTGGGAGAGAGACAGCTTGTACATGTGGTCAAGTGGGCCAAGGCCTTGCCTGGTAAGGAAAAGGGAAGTGGGAGCATGAGATAAGGGGGATCATATTTAGTGAACGCTCCTATGGGCCAGCCACCACGTCTGGTGCTTTTCTGCCCATTAACTCAGGTAGTCTTCATCGTAACCCTATGGGAGAGGGATTGTTATAAATCTCACTTTAAACATACAGGGATTGAGACTCAGAAAGCAAAGAGAAAGATAGTATTATAAGGTGTCCTATGTGGCCCACATTGATGCACAGCAGTCATGCTTTCACATTTAACTCACAGAAATGGTCAGCAAAATTTCCCTTAATCACAAAATCACATAGACATACCCATATATGCCTTAGGATGCTCTTCTATATTTGCACACACAGGCTCACCCCAAAGATAATCTCCAGCCTGACTGACATTCTGTCTTCAGTGTCACCTTTAGGAACTATATCATGGGAACTCTCATAATATGATATGGTAGAAAGAACATGAGGTTGGGAATCAGAACACTTCAGATCTACTTTTAGTTCTGCTAGTAACTTATTGTGTGATCCCTTCCCCTTCTGGGTCTCAATTTCTCTATCTGTATAATGTATAAGGCATGGTTTGTACCAAATTGATGGTTTTCAAATTTTGCTTCAAGAAATGCTTTGTGCACTTTAAACTACTTAAGGAATCATAATAGGAGGAAAGATTAGGTGATAGTGAAAGAATTATCAACTGTTGGTCTAACAGAAGTTGGATAACAGAAGTTCCCCAGTGATGGGGAACTCACTTCTTTCTTATGTCATCTGTTGCTTAAACAAGTCTGGTTATTAAAATATTACAGCTTAAGGAATTCTTAGAGATCCTCTATCCAATGATTCACAAACTTTCATTTAACAGCCAAGTGCTTTATTTCTCAAAAGAATTGTACACAGATATGAGTGGAGCTAGTTTATTTAAAGCCAGAGTCTGTGGCTTGGGCCTCACCAGTTCAGCCTCTTTTTCTCTATCCCAGGGAAGCCCCTAGGTCACTCTTGCAAAATCTTAGGGCTCCGAGGAACACAGTTTGAAAACCAGTGAAGTATATGCTCTTTAAAGGTTCTCCTAATCTTGCAATTATGATTCAAAGACTCTTTTGGAATAATAACAACTAAACCTTCTCTTGTGGAGTCAAAGATTAACCTGCCTTTCAATAATAACTGCCATTCAGGTAGAAATGTATAGTGAACAGAGCAATTTTGTATATATTACCTGAATTGATTCTTATAGGAATCCTATAAAATGAGACTCTTTCTCCTGTTTTACAGACCAAATAGGGAAGCTGTGAGAATGATGTGATTGACCTATAGTTACATAGTCAGAAAATAGCAGGACCAGAACTTGAGCCCAGGTTCTCTCCTGATTCCAAATCCTCCCTTTATTCCACTCCACCTGTAGGCTGCAGCACCACTGCAGTTCTGTAACTCTGGGCTTTACAGTGAGGGGCCAAGGCTTCACTGAAGGCCACTTGGGTCATACTGTGGGCTTGCTGCATTTGAAGACATTGCATGTTGGCTGTCAAGTCTTAGATTTGTATTTCCAACTCACAGGTTAGGCCTGGTCAAAGCCCTAACCATCTCTTGCACCTTCTCAGCTTGGGAAGCTGAGGTTGACTAGGCAATAAGATCACTGGGAAGGAAACCCAAGGACTCTGATTGGATATGTTCTGTGCCAAAGCGGAGGGTTCACACAGAGAGGAAAAATATAAAAAAGAGAAAGGAGAAAGCTGCTTTAATTCTTATCACTTTTTCATCTGGATATTTTGATATCATGTGTTTGACAAAGATTCAAAGTTTAATCTTCCCAAGCAGTTTCCAAACACTTATCTCATTTTATAAGTTACAGAGCTTTTTCATATAGATGATCCCAGTTAATCCTCACAACAATTCTATGAATCATAGAGACTATTATTTCCATTTCACATGCCAAGGCTCAAAGAGGATAACTAACTTGCTCCATTTGGTCACTTAACACATGGAACCAGAACTTGACCTAGACCTTCAGGTTTCTAAATTGGTTATCTTGACAATAACCTAGTGCAAAACTCTATAGCAGAATTTGTATGACTTGGGATCACTGGGGCTTTCCTTGGCCCAGCCACCAGGATGGAAAGCCCCCTCCCCTTACATTAACAAATCTGCAAACCAATATCAGTTCACCATCTAGCTTGCCAGACTAAATGATCTCTGACTCCGAGTCTTTTAAAAGAATAGCTTCAAAAGAAAGCCAATTACCACATTCATAAGAACTGTTCTTCATATTATCTATAATTACCTACAAGTTCAAGTAATTCACTAATTCAATAGATTGAGTTCTTGACCTGTAAAATGAACTGTGCTAGGCCCCTAATAAGATAAATTTTGTTGTAAGTTTTCTACGACAGTAATGATGTATGGAAATTGCCTAGTAGAGTACCTGGCACATTAATAAATGATAACTATTAATGTAGAGTGGGTGAGTAGACTGGGTGTGCACAGTATATTTAGAATCTAATTTATCTGGTTTGGAATCCTAGCTATGGACTAGTTCTGTGACCTTGAGTATATCACATGTCTTCTCTGTGCTTCTGTGTCCTCATTTGTAAGATGATAGAATAATCGCTACCTTTCAAATTGTCGTCAACAAAGAGATTATGTATAAAGAGCACCTAGTAAGGTAGCCTGAAACATAGTAAATGCTCTGTAAATGGTGGTTTATTATTATGAAACTTGAGTGCTAAGCCACTGCTTTCATGAAACTCAATTTTAGCTACCACTTGCCTTGCCTGCTCATGCATGGACCACAAGGTGAAATTGTCTTCTCTGAAGACTTTGGCAGGCAGATGCACTACAGCAGCAAAGATTTCCAAACTGGCCTTTCTTTGAGCCTATTCTCCCAGACCAGACATGAGACTACAAGTTTCTGCTGCACATGAAAAAAATATGATGTCAGTTGGATTCTAGTGAAAAAACAGAGTGTCTAATAAACTGCTTCTGCTCCCTAGCCTGTTTAATGTGTTTCAAAACCTGAGAATGACTCCTCTCTGTTTCTCCAGAATAGCCTAACACAATGGCAAATGGGCGTTGAGTGAATGCATACTTAAGGAAATCTGTAGGGCTGCAGCTACTCTTTCCTCAAGTAATCCCTTGATAGTCATGCAGGCTACTTCAGAGATTGGGCATTAGAGAACAGAGTCAGGTATTATAATCAGATTAGACTCTAGGGAGATTAGCCAACCATATTGCTGATATGTGCACAGTTACTGGGCTTCCGTGCTAAGCAGCTCTCATTAAGCACAGTTAATTAATATTATGGCCAACTTAAGCTTTCCCTTTTCTCTCCTGTTTGTTAGTTCGGCAGCATTTTGGGGAGAAAAGAATAAGCATCAGTATGGACAATTTGCTTCATACCTGTACAATTTAATTCTCATCCTTCCATGTGCCTTCACATTCACACACTCCACTAGAAGAACAAGGTTCACCAGCCAAAGACTTTTCTTGCTCCCCACTGCCTCCTACCCAAGATATTCAGGGTTCAACCTCCCAGGCCTCTTCTCTAAGAGATCCCTGGTTGCTACATGCCTAGACCCTGCTTCTTATTTCCTACTGAGAAGGGTCAGTCCAAGGCATTCTGTGCTACAGAAGGGTTCCAGGCAGGAACTACCCTGGGATCTGAGGCTCCAGCCAGTCTGTCAGTGTGTCGTTACGGTGAAGGTGGGAAGCACAGGCCTGGGAGCTAAGACTGCCAAGATGAGGTACTCTAGTATCCCTGATATCTGGAAGGCTTAGGATCTAAAGGAAAAGAACAGGGAAATGGGGCTATATGAGTGGACAGGGACCAACCAAGCAGAACAGTGTATCTGGATAATGTAGACTTCAGACCTGATCCTATGGCTGACAAAAGTTGGTGACCTTGGTGGTTCCTGAGCTGTAACCTTCAGCAGTGGAGTTGAAAAAACACTGGAGAACAGAATCAGAACACCTGGGTTCTAGTATTAGTTCAGCCACATATAAACCATATGACCTTGGGCAAGTCAATTTATTTCTCTGGCCCTCATGTTCCTTGTTGGTAAAATAAGTGTCACATCACCTAACCTCTGGGATTATTGTGAGAGTTAAATTAGGTCATCAACAGGAAAGTGAGAAGTTTGGTCTACATTTGGGGAAGCATTCCTAATGAAGTATGATGACAAAATTTCAGATAATTCTGGATTTGTTAGTGAGAAGAGAGAGTGTTGGTAGGGATGAGCTCTGAGGTGATGCCTTTATAACTTTAAGCATCCAACTGTTTCAGAACCTCCAGGAGAACATGGCCATGTCTGTACTACCTGTGTGTTATTGTAGAGGTAGCATCTGGGAGCCTCTGCTCTCTGAGCTTAAGGGAGGTAATTTGGAGATCATTTAATTCTCATTTTATAAAAGGAAAACAAATTGAGGATCTTTAGGCCATTTGTTTAGGTTTCTTAAGTGCCCACTCAAATACGTGGACTGTACTAAGTACTAGGGAGGTAAACTTGAATATGAAGATATGGTCCCTGTCTTCAAGAAGCTCTAAGTCTTGTGGGGGAGACAGACATGTATGTACATAGATTTCAATGCTGTGTAATGAGTGCTATAACTGCGTGAGGCTACACAAGGAGCAACGAGAATGTAAAATGAGAATCTTTAAGCCTTCTTCTTGGATGAGTTGGAAAAGCCTTCACAGAAGAGGTAGCCTTTGAGTGAAGACTTGAAAGATGAGTAGGTGTTTAACCAGATGAAAGACCTGAGAAGGAGGAATGCATTCTAGGCAAAAGCAACTGCCTGTGCAGAGATAACAGAGATATAGAGGCATGTGAGAGGGCAAGTGGCAACAGATCAGTCTAGGCAGCAGGTCATAAAGGGCCTGTTCATATATAATGATGGCAGTAAGATGGGGATGGCAGTAAGGTGGGAAACTAGTAGGGCCAGGCTACCTATTGAGTAGAAAAGAATGGAGAGGAACTGCCAGGCAGAAAGTGGGATGGACGCAAGAGAGGGAACATGAAAGTGGTCAACAGGAGGCAGTGGCTGTCAAGACATCTCTCCATACACTGTACACTGTGTGTAATATCCGTCTCTCAGGGTTGTTAGAAGGGTCAAACCAGCTCATAGCTGGAAAAGAGCTTTGTGAAGTGAAAACTGCTGTTTATGTGGGAGAAATGATGTTATCCTGCATCTTTGGAAAGGTAGAGTGATCAAGAGCACAGACCTTGGAATCTGACTGCTTTGCTTTGGAACTTGGTCTACCAATTACTAGCTGTATGATCTTGGACAAGTTCCTTAATCTCTCTCTGACTCACCTGTACTGGTTCACAGAATGGAGATAATAATATTACCTACTTTACTAATTGTTGTGAATATTAAATGAGATAATATAAGTAAAGTGCTTAGAAAAGAGTTAAATGTGCCCCATAAATACATACAACTATCATATACCCAAAATAATTTTTAAGTTTTTTTTAAAAAAGCAATCCAATGGAAATCAAAAGAAAAAAAGAGTTTGCTCGTATATGCAGTCAATAAGTGTTAGATTATTTTTCTCTTACAACTGACAATGCCCTTTTTTTTCTCCATCATCATCTCATTTGAGCAGCTCAGTGATGTAGGGAGGACAACGAATATTATCCTCACCATATAGTTTGTGCTTTTCCCCACCACCCCTCAGTGGCCAGTCTGGATGGTCCCTGGGGATCCTTAGGGGATGTCCGAATGCCAGGGCATCTCTGCCCAGCAGGGGCTCAGACTTAGCTCAGCCCGTCAGTACCCAGATTGACCACTGCCTCTGCCTCTTCTTCTCCAGGCTTCCGCAACTTACACGTGGACGACCAGATGGCTGTCATTCAGTACTCCTGGATGGGGCTCATGGTGTTTGCCATGGGCTGGCGATCCTTCACCAATGTCAACTCCAGGATGCTCTACTTTGCCCCTGATCTGGTTTTCAATGAGTAAGTGCTCCTGGGGCCCAGACCTCACTAAAATACAGCAGCTTGGCCAGACCCAGTTGGTGGTGATGGTGATGGAGTGACAGTGAAGCTTACCTCATTTGACCTGCAGGTGTGGCATTGGATGCCCCAGCCAGCCAACTCGGTATGAGGCAGCTTTGCCCTGGCTTTCAGCCAACTGGTAGGAGCTGAGGAGGATGGTGCTGAGACTACCCCTTTCACACCCAAGAACCAATCCTGGTCGTGTTTCTGGTCTCCTTTACAGCTTATCTCAGAACCACATGGAAAGATTCCTCCCCTTCACTTTGAGCAACATATAAAAGAGGCAGAAAGACTCTGGCTTTAGGGGCTGAAGTTTCTTGGGTTCTGTTGCTACCACCAAAGGCTACTGCTAGTCACCACTTGCTGAGCAACTAGTTTGTGCCAAGAATATGCTAGATACTTTCTAAATCCTATCTCATTGAGTCCTCATGGTGACCTGACCTCCCCTTTTTGTAGATAACTCTATTTTTTTTATGGACGGGGAAAGTCAGGCTCAGCAAAATAAAGTGACTCACCCAAAGTCACAGAGCTAGTGCCTATTGGAGAGAAGATTCAAATGTATTTCCGTGTGAATCCCAGCTCTTCTGCGTCATGGTGGTAACTGATGGGGAGGAGTACCTCTACCACTCTCTGTCTGTGTGACCTTGGTACTGCCATTTTCTTTCTCTTAAACAGCTTTAATTAATACCTGCCCTGCCACTAGCTCTATATAACATCATGAATTTTGCCAGTGGCTCAGATTTTGGAATTACATTTTTCTCCACTAAAATCTCAGTTCTATTATTTTCTTAATCAGCATCTTTGGGAAAGACCCTTAACTTTTCTGACCCCCAATTTCTTTATCAATTAATGATAATAGAACCTTCATAAGTAATTTCTTACGATAACTAAATGGGAACTCACAGACGTGGAATGTCTGGCCCATAGTGGGCAAGAAAAAAAAAAAAAGTCCCTTTCTGATCCACCGTTCCCTAAGAGTGATATTTTTTTTTCCCTCAAGATGGAGTTTGGCACTGCCACCCAGGCTGGAGGGTGGTGGTGCAATGATCTCGGCCCACTGCAACCTCCACCTCTCTGGTTCAAGCAATTCTTCTGCCTCAGCTTCCCGAGTAGCTGGGCTTATAGATGCCAGCCAGCATGTCCAGCTAATTTTTGTATTTTTGGTAGAGATGGGATTTTACCATGTTAGCCAGGCTGGTCTTGAACTCCTGACCTCATTATCTGCCCACCTCAGTCGGGCATGATAATCTTTTCTATGTCTGCTGTATGAGGTCCCTCGATGGCATAATGAATGGAGCTGGCCAGAGAAATCTTCCCAAGGACCTTGAGCTAGTCTCCCCACAGAGAATCCTTCCAGTCAGGACAGGAATTGACCTTCCCCCCTCTTCAGCCCTCTAACCCAGAAGAGTCTTAAAATAAAATCTACAGGCCAGTGGTTCCTTCCAGTACAGCACTGCAATGTGAGGGAGAGTGAGCGTCCCCAGCTGCCCTCTCCCAACCCTGCCAGCCTGGTAGCCAGAAGCTAAGAATAACCACTAGGCTTTTGGCACAAACTGCTTTGTGGTTTTCAGACCTCCAAAAAGTTGCCTATGATGCCATCTTCTGGGGCAGGCCTTGAAAAGCCCCCTAACTGTTCATCTCCCATCCTCAAACCCCTGCTGCCCTTAAGCAATTGAGTCAACTCCATGAGCACCTACTCTACCTTCCCCAGAGCTCTGAGACCTTTGGAGCTTTGAAAAGTGATAATTGGCTGTTCTCTAAATCCTCATTTCCTTTTCTACCTCTGAGTAAGCATGTGGCATCCCACCTCAGCTTCCTGGTCCAGTCTTGTTCAGCTTATAAAAAGGCCTCCCCACAGGGTCAGAGGCCTAGACCCATCAAATCCCAGGGCTCCTGAAACAATAGGACCCCTATTCCTCCTGTAGGAAGCCACTATGTTAGAACTCTCAGGGTGTCTACAAACATCTAGATAAGTGTTTCTCAACATGGATTATTTTGACATATTGGAAAAAATAATTTTGTCAATATGTAGAATATGGTTGACATACCTGGCACCAGCCTACTTTATACCAAAGAGGATTCCAGTCATTCTGACAGCCCAAACTGCTCCCACGCATTTCTAACACCCACTGAAGAAGCAGTACTCTCCAGTTGAGAGTGACTAATTGCTGCCAGCCTCCCTAAGGTGCTAATGGGGAGCCTCAGACCCAAAGAGAGAGATAAGAACTTGTTCAAAGTAGGTCAACCCATTTGCTGATCTCTTCAACACCAAACTCTATTATCAGCCCTGTTTTTTTCTTTCCTTCTGTCTTTGTAGAGATCACATGTTGTGAGGATAATGAGCCTGAACCTTAACTGTGTGACCTTGGGCAAATTACTGAACTTCTATGTGCCTCAAATTTTATCTGGAGACTGCTGAAGAGTATTATAATAGCACCTTTCTACATGTCATTTATGGAACACCTGCTATGTGTCAGGCACTGTGCTTAGTGTTTTCCAATCTTCATTTCTCATCTTATTTTCTCTCTTGCACTCCCACCAACCCTGCTCTCCTCCTAAATTCCATTCCTGCCTCATTTTTATACCCTCCATTCTCCTCTCTCTTCCTTCCTTTAACTGTCTCCCTAGTATTTTTTCCCTTTTTCCGCCTTTCTTGTCCCCTTCCCCTATGAATTTCCTCCCTTTCCTTTCCCCTTCTCTTTCCTCCATTCCCCACTTTTTCTGCCCCTGAGGCCTGCAGCAATGTTAAAGGAATCCTCATTCCAGCATTGTGATTTCAATGGTAAAAAAAAGATTGCAGCATTGTCATCAACAGAGGTGGGAAAGTACATTGGAGACTGGAGCAGGGCCAGACTTCAGGGTCAGCCAATCTTACTAAAAAATTCTCTATAGTGAAAGAGCTTGGAGCAACACTGTTCTGCTCAATTGATTTGTGATACCATCTAAACACTTCCTCTTTCCAGTTGGGCTTCAGCCTAAGTTGAATAATTCTACACCATCTGCCCCCTTCTCTCTTTCTCCAGGACAGCCAAGATCTCTCTGAGATAGGATGCTGAGTTTCCACCCAGACAATACCAGGCCTTCTCATCCTGTGGAGTAGGCTAGTGGCTTGGAAACCAAAATGTCAAACCATAGCCTTTAGGCTCCATCTGGGAGGTCTTTGTCCTCACCACTTAAGTGGGTGTCAGATTTCCTTCCCTTTCTGCACATGCTGCACAATCAATTTCTGTCTTACACACACACACACACACACACACACACACACAATTTTTGAAGTGCTGAAAACTAGAAAGCCTACTAGCATGAGGATGCTGTGTCTTCTCTTAGAGGTATGCCATGGTCAGCCATGGAACCGAGAGGTTGCTCTTCCTTGAAAAGTTGGCCAAGCATTGGCCACCTCCCCGTATAATTTATAGGTGATAATGTGGTGATCTGTTCAGAAGTAACTATAATAAATGCAGCTCACATATGTCTACAGTTTCCAAACTGTGGTAAGGAGCAGCCAGCATATGAGGGAATGGGCTCCCCTTCAGCAGGGGACATTTAAATTAGACATTCAAAAACACTCCCTGGCAGATTTAACATTGAAACTCATTTTGAAAGAACAATGTGGAATCTCCTTCACTGGAAGTTTTTGAAGAAATATTAAATTTCTAGTATTCCAGGCCAGAGGCAAAGGGGTCAACAGGATGACCAAACACTTCGGGTCACTTGCAAATCCTGGTGTCCTGATGTTAAGAGCTGACTACTGGGGCTTCTCCTAAAAATCCTTCATGTTGAGCTGCCTGGGAGGCAGGTTCTTGTTCTGGCTGTAGCTGGGATATTAGAACTGTAGTCAGGGAGACCATGTGCCTGCCCCATTGTGTTCATTTGGTTAGGCTTTCTTGTCCCTGACTCAGAAAACAGAAGGGGCACAGAGACCTGGAAATTCCATGCGCTAACCCATATCCTGGCCAGGGAAGATAGTAGTAATCAGGATGTCAGGATTTTGGAAAAGAGAGAGATAAAAAAAAAAAAACCCAGACCAACAAACAAACAAACAAAAACCTCATCCTGATCCCTGAAGCACCAGCAGGAGAAACAGCAAGCTCTTCTTGGAGAACCTGGGGAGGAAGGGCAATCAGAGACATTCCCTCTGGGCTTATTGCAAGCTTCCCCTCATTCCTTTTTCCTCTATGTATCTCCTTCCCAGGTACCGCATGCACAAGTCCCGGATGTACAGCCAGTGTGTCCGAATGAGGCACCTCTCTCAAGAGTTTGGATGGCTCCAAATCACCCCCCAGGAATTCCTGTGCATGAAAGCGCTGCTACTCTTCAGCATTAGTAAGTGCCTAGAGGTGCAGGGAATGCCCCTGAGGGCACAGAGACTCAGAGAGGACCACTTTTGCCATTAAAACGTTATTAGGGAGATGCCAGCTCCTTGACATTTCCCTTCTTCATTTCCCCTCCCCATCCCCACTGTACTCTCCCTCAGTATCATTCTTCTAACAAGACACAATTTCATGACTAGAAGCCAATGTATTTGCTAGAAGTCAGCTTCCATCGGGTTCCCCACCTATCCCTAGTCTATCTTTGGGACAAGGCCTTTTTGACTGGTTATAGCAGGTCTGTGAATTTCTCCACAGCTTCTGCTATAGAAACAAACATGGGCCACCTTGTATTCCTTGCAGGGCAGTAAAGCAGGAGGCATTTCCTCCTGGAAAGATTTCCTCTTCTGCCAACAGGAGGAGGTCTATGTAAGCAACTCAGGTAGGATTTATTTGGCAGCCAAGGAACTTTTCTTTAATATCTTTTCTAACAAGAGCCCTTTCTTAGCCTCTGTTGAGGGAGAAAGGCAAAATTTGATATTCAAAGCTATGTGTTTTAGTTGTCTAAATCAGGGTTTGACTGTAAATGACATAAAAGCTTAGGTCCTAAAAAATGAGTATATGAGAAGAGTAGAAAAAGAAAAGATTCAGGAAATTTGATTTACTTGACTCCCTTCAGATTGGATCCAGCTATCCTTTCCCCTGAGATCTCCCTGACAGACTGAAGGCCCCAAGCCCACAGACTTCAACTAACAGGAAGCCAAGTAGATGGTTCCCTGTGGGAGTGGGGGTCAAGTTTGTGGTCAGAAAACTTGGTGCTTTGTCTAATGTTCCTTCGTGGGCATGCTTCCCCTCCCCATTCTGTCTTCATCCCACATCAGTTCCAGTGGATGGGCTGAAAAATCAAAAATTCTTTGATGAACTTCGAATGAACTACATCAAGGAACTCGATCGTATCATTGCATGCAAAAGAAAAAATCCCACATCCTGCTCAAGGCGTTTCTACCAGCTCACCAAGCTCCTGGACTCCGTGCAGCCTGTAAGCAAACGATGGAGGGTGCTTTATCAGGGAGAACAGCCTGATAGAGCCAATGATAATATGCTTCTCTAGGGTCTGGCACCACCTGTTGGGAGGTGCTTCCATTCCCCTCTGGCTTTGAGTGTGGTCCAGGAAGAAAATGTGGTGAAGAAAGGAACACGGGTCACAGTGTCCCAGCTGGATATTGTGAAAGGGGTGGAGGAGTTGAGAACAGAGCAGTTGGGACTCAGGGAAGGGACTTACAGCAGATGAATTCTCTAGGCAGACAAAACAGACCTGGATGTTTCTCCCCTCTTCTTTGAGTCATGTTCATGTGAGTTTGTCTGTGTGTGTGTGTGTGTGCGTGTGTGTGTGTGTGTGTGTGACAGAGAGAGAGAGGAGAGAGGGAGAGAGAGAGAGAGAGAGAGAGATGGAGTGCAGAGGCTGGGGTGAGAGCACAAGCTGGAGAAGTCTTGAGTCAGAAAGCTTACGATGGTATAAGACATCGCTTGGGAGCCCTCAGTGACTCCATGGAGACCATTTCTCTCTCTCTCTCTCTGTCTCTCTCTCTCTTTCTCACACACACACACACACACACACACGACCTCATGGGGGAGGACCAAGGAAGGACAGGGAAGGGGGAGGAAACAAAAGACTGAAAGACCAAAAATCAAAGGTTAGGGAAAAGTCTAGCAGAGCCCACCTCCTTGTCAACCCTGTTTTTCTCTCTCTTATTGTTCCCTACAGATTGCGAGAGAGCTGCATCAGTTCACTTTTGACCTGCTAATCAAGTCACACATGGTGAGCGTGGACTTTCCGGAAATGATGGCAGAGATCATCTCTGTGCAAGTGCCCAAGATCCTTTCTGGGAAAGTCAAGCCCATCTATTTCCACACCCAGTGAAGCATTGGAAATCCCTATTTCCTCACCCCAGCTCATGCCCCCTTTCAGATGTCTTCTGCCTGTTATAACTCTGCACTACTCCTCTGCAGTGCCTTGGGGAATTTCCTCTATTGATGTACAGTCTGTCATGAACATGTTCCTGAGTTCTATTTGCTGGGCTTTTTTTTCCTCTTTCTCTCCTTTCGTTTTCTTCTTCCCTCCCTATCTAATCCTCCCATGGCAACTTCAGACTTTGCTCCCCATTGTGACTCCTATCTGTGTTTTGAATGGTGTTGTATGCCTTTAAATCTGTGATGATCCTCATGTGGCCCAGTATCAAGTTGTGCTTGTTTACAGCACTACTCTCTGCCAGCCACACAAACGTTTACTTATCTTATGCCACGGGAAGTTTAGAGAGCTAAGATTATCTGGGGAAATCAAAACAAAAGCAAGTAAAAAAAAAAAAAAAAAAAAGGCAAAAACAAAACGAAAAATAAGCCAAAAAACCTTGCTAGTGTTTTTTCCTCAAAAATAAATAAATAAATAAATAATTACACACATACAAACAAATATATAGAAATCCCCAAAGAGGCCAATAGTGACTAGAAGGTGAAAATTGCAGGCCCCTGGGGAGTTACTGATTTTTTCATCTCCTCCCTCCATGGGAGACTTTATTTTCTGCCAATGGCTGTTGCCATTAGAGGGCAGAGTGACCCCAGAGCTGAGTTGGGCAGGGGGCTGGACAGAGAGAGAGGAGAGGACAAGGAGGGCAGATGGAACATCAGTACCTGCCCACAGCCTTGGCCCCTGGGGGCTAGACTGCTCAACTGTAGAGCAATTCATTATACTGAAAATGTGCTTGTTGTTGAAAATTTGTCTGCATGTTAATGCCTCACCCCCAAACCCTTTTCTTTCTCACTCTCTGCCTCCAACCTCAAATTGACTTTCAATAGTTTTTCTAAGACCTTTGAACTGAATGTTCTCTTTAGCCAAAACTTGGTGACTTCCACAGAAAAGTCAGACCACTGAGAAGAAGGGGAGCAGAGATTTAACCCTTTGTAAGGCCCCGTTTGAATCCAGGTCTGCTTTCTCATGTGTGAGTCAGAGAGGAGCTGGAGCCAGAGGAGAAGAAAGTGATAGCTTGACTGTTCTCCTGCTTAGGACACTGACTGAATAGTTAAACTTTCACTGCCACTACATTTTCCCCACCTTTAAAAGACCTGAATGAAGTTTTCTGCCAAACTCCGTGAAGCCACAAGCACCTTATGTCCTCCATTCAGTGTTTTGTAGGCCCGAACTTCATCACACTGCATTTCAGCCATGGTGGTCAAGCCTGTTTGCTTCTTTTGGGCATGTTCACAGATTCTCTGTTAAGAGCTCCCCCTATCAAGAAGGTTAGCAGGCCAACAGCTCTGACATCTATCTGTAGATGCCAGTAGTCACAAAGATTTCTTACCAACTGTCAGATCGCCGGAGCCCTTAGACAAACTGGAAAGAAGGCATCAAAGGGATCAGACAAACTGGGTGTCTTGTCCTTGTCCCCCAGAGATGACATCCTTCCAGCAAGTGGAGAAGTTCTCACTTCCTTCTTTAGAGCAGCTAAAGGGGCTGCCCAGATCAGGGTTGAAGAGAAAACTCAATTACCAGGGTGGGAAGAATGAAGGCACTAGAACCAGAAACCCTGCAAATGCTCTTCTTGCCACCCAGCATATCCACCTGCAGAAGTCATGAGAAGAGAGAAGGAACAAAGAGGAGACTTTGACTACTGAATTAAAATCTTCAGCGGCAAAGCCTAAAGTCAGATGGACACCATCTGGTGAGTTCACTCATCATCCTCCTCTGCTGCTGATTCTGGGCTCTGACATTGCCCATACTCACTCAGATTCCCCACCTTTGTTGCTGCCTCTTAGTCAGAGGGAGGCCGAACCATTGAGACTTTCTATAGAACCATGGTTTCTTCCGGAAAGGTCTGGTTGGTGTGACTCCAATACATTGCCACCCATGAACTCAAGGTGTGCCCTGGGACACTGGTTTCATCTAGTCTTTTGGCACGCCTGTGTTCTGTTGACTTCATTCTCCAACCCCAAGTGCAAGGGAAAATGTCCACCTACTTTCTCATCTTGGCCACTGCCTCCTTACTTAGCTCTTAATCTCATCTGTTGAACTCAAGAAATCAAGGGCCAGTCATCAAGCTGCCCATTTTAATTGGTTCACTCTGTTTGTTGAGAGGATAGTTTCTGAGTGACATGATATGATCCACAAGGGTTTCCTTCCCTGATTTCTGCATTGATATTAATAGCCAAACGAACTTGCAAAACAGCTTCTTTAAATAACAAGGGAGAGGGGAACCTAAGATGAGTAATATGCCAATCCAAGACTGCTGGACAAAACTAAAGCTAACAGGTTCCCTTTCTGGGATGGGATAGACACATTCTGGTTTTCTTTATTACTACACCATCTGGCTCATGTACAGGATCACTTTTAGCTGTTTTAAACAGAAAAAAATTCCACCACTCTTTTCAGTTACACTAGGTTACATTTTAATAGGTCCTTTACATCTGTTTTGGAATGATTTTCATCTTTTGTGATACATGGATTGAATTATATCATTCTCATATCTCTCCTTGTAAATACTAGAAGCTCTCCTTTACATTTCTCTATCAAATGTTTCATCTTTATGGGTTTCCCAGTTGTGACTCTTGTCTCTTTGAATATATGAATATATGTTTTTCATTTGCAAAAGCCAAAAATCAGTGAAACAGCAGTGTAATTAAAAGCAACAACTGGATTACTCCAAATTTTCAAATGACAAGACTAGGGAAAAATAGCCTACACAAGGCTTTAGGCCTTCTCTTTCTGTGCTTGGATTTGAGTGAACAAAGGAGGTTTTAGCTTGGCTCTGTTCTCCCATGGATGAAAGGAGGAGGATTATTTTTTTTTCTTTTGTCCATTGATGTTCTAGCCAATGTAATTGACAGAAGTCTCATTTTGCATGCACTCTGCTCTACAAACAGAGTTGGTATGGTTGGTATACTGTACTCACCTGTGAAGGACTGGCCACTCAGACCCACTTAACTGGCGAGCTAGAAGATGAGGATCACTCACCGGAAAAGTCATGAGGACCATCTCCAAACAAGTTGGCAGTGCTTGATGTGGATGAAGAGTGAGGAAGAGAAAAAGAAGGAGCACCAGGGAGAAGACCTCGTCTGTGCCAGGCAGCAGACTGCTGCCAGGATCACGAACTCTGTAGTCAAAGAAAAGAGTCGTGTGGCGGTTTCAGCTCTCGTTCATTGGGCAGCTCGCCTGGGCCCAGCCTCTGTGTTGACATGGGAGTTGTTGGATTCTTTGTTTCATAGCTTTTTCTATGCCACAGGCAATGTTGTTGTTCTTGGAAAGTTTATTATTTTTTTTTTTGATTCCCTTACTCTGAGAAAGGGATATTTTGAAGGACTGTCATATATCTTTGAAAAAAGAAAATCTGTAATACATATATTTTTATGTATGTTCACTGGCACTAAAAAAATATAGAGAGCTTCATTCTGTCCTTTGGGTAGTTGCTGAGGTAATTGTCCAGGTTGAAAAACAATGTGCTGATGCTAGAGTCCCTCTCTGTCCATACTCTACTTCCAAATGGATATAGGCATACATAATAAGTTTTATTCGACTTGTACTTTAAGAGAAAATATGTCCACCATCCACATGATACTGACACAAATGAGCTAACATTGAGCTTCAAGTAGCTTCTAAGTGTTCGTTTCACTAGGCACAGCACAGATGTGGCCTTTCCCCCCTTCTCTCCCTTGATATCTGGCAGGGCATAAGGCCCAGGCCACTTCCTCTGCCCCTTCCCAGCCCTGCACCAAAGCTGCATTTCAGGAGACTCTCTCGAGACAGTCCAGTAACTACCGGAGCATGGCCCCTGCATAGCCCTGGAAAAATAAGAGGCTGGCTGTCTACGAATCATCTTGTGCCAGTTGCCCAGGTGAGAGGGCACTGGGCCAAGGGAGTGGTTTTCATGTTTGACCCACTACAAGGGGTCATGGGAATCAGGAATGCCAAAGTACCAGATCAAATCCAAAACTTAAAGTCAAAATAAGCCATTCAGCATGTTCAGTTTCTTGGAAAAGGAAGTTTCTACCCCTGATGCCTTTGTAGGCAGATCTGTTCTCACCATTAATCTTTTTGAAAATCTTTTAAAGCAGTTTTTAAAAAGAGAGATGAAAGCATCACATTATGTAACCAAAGATTACATTGTATCTGCTAAGATACCAAAATTCACAAGGGCAGGGAGGGAGCAAGCATTAGTGCCTCTTTGATAAGCTGTCCAAAGACAGACTAAAGGACTTTGCTGGTGACTGACTTATAAGAGTTTTGTGGGGTTTTTTTTCCCTAATAATATACATGTTTGGAAGAGTTGAAAATAATTTTGGGAAAATGGGTTTATGGGTCCTTCACTAAGTGATTTTATAAGTAGAACTGGCTTTCCTTTTCTTTAGTAGTTGCTGAGCAAATTCTTGAAGCTCCATCATTGCATGGTTGGAAATGGAGCTATTCTTAGCCACTGTGTTTGCTAGTGCCCATGTTAGCTTATCTGAAGATGTGAAACCCTTGCTGATAAGGAATCATTTAAAGTACTAGATTTTGCACTAGAGGGACAGCAGGCAGAAATCCTTATTTCTGCCCACTTTGGATGGCACAAGAAGTTATCTGCAGTTGAAGGCAGAAAGTTGAAATATATTGTAAATGAATATTTGTATTCATGTTTCAAAATTGAAATATATATATATTTTATATATATATATATATACACACACACACATATATATAGTGTGTGTGTGTGTGTGTGTGCACGTGTGTGTGTTCTGATAGCTTTACCTTTCTCTGGATCTTTATATTTGGTTCCAGATCACACCTGATGCCATGTACTTGTGAGAGAGGATGCAGTTATGTTATGGAAGCTCTCTCAGAACAGACAAGACATGTAGATTAATCAGATAACTAAAAGTTTTCTCCCCTATTGGGTCTGACCCACAGGTCCTGTGAAGGAGCAGAGGGGTAAAAAGAGTAGAGGACATGATACATTGTACTTTACTAGTTCAAGACAGATGAATGCGGAAAGTGTAAAAACTCAGTGGAACTGATTGAGATTTACCACAGGGAAGGCCCAAACTTGGGGCCAAAAGCCTACCCAAGTGATTGACCAGTGGCGCCCTAATGGGACCTGAGCTATTGGGAGAAGAGAACTGTTCTTTGGTCTTCACCATCCTTGTGAGAGAAGGACAGTTTCCTGCATTGGAACCTGGAGCAAGCGCTCCATCTTTCACACAAATTCCCTCACCTGAGATTGAGGTGCTCCTGTTAATGGGTGTCTGTGTGCTGTAATTCTGGTTTTGGATATGTTCTGTAAAGATTTTGACAAATGAAAATATGTTTTTATCTGTTAAAACTTGTCAGAGTACTAGAAGTTGTATCTCTGTAGGTGCAGGTCCATTTCTGCCCACAGGTAGGGTGTTTTTCTTTGACTAAGAGATTGACACCGGGATCTGTTGCCCCAGGGCCTCCCAACTCAACCATTTCTAGGTGAAGGCAGAAAAATCCACATTAGTCACTCCTCTTCAGACATTTCAGCTGAGATAACAAATCATTTGGAATTTCTTCACCCATAGAAAGAGTGGTAGATATTTGAATTTAGTAGGTGGAGTTTTATAGAAAAAACAGCTTTTGCCTCAGTTTTGATTTATCCTCATTTGATTTGGCCAGAATGTAGGTAATATGCATCGATTGGCTTCTGATTCCAATTCAGTATAGCAGGGTGCTGGGTTTTTTCTTTTCCCCACCCGTCTCTTAGCCTAGGGAATTAAATAAGAAGCCTTAGAATGGGTGGCCTTTGTGACCTGAAACACTTCCTACATAAGCTACTTAACAAGATTGTCATGTAGCTGCAGATTCCTTTGCCCACCAAAGACTAGAACACACGCATATCCATAAACCAAAGGAAAGACAGCTCTGAAAGGCTGTTTCTCTGGTGGTTCCCTCTCTGGCTGTTGCTTCACAGTATGGGAACCTGTACTCTGCATAGGTGACAGGCCAGATTTGCATTCTCTTACAACCTTAGCCCTTGGTGTTAACTGTCCTACAGTGAAGTGCCTGTGGAGTTGTCCTATCCCAGAAGCCACTTGGATGCTGAGAGCAGCCACCATCAGAACGACCCACGCGAAAAAAAAAAAGAAAATTAAAAAGTCCCCTCACAACCCAGTGACACCTTTCTGCTTTCCTCTAGACTGGAACATTGATTAGGGAGTGCCTCAGACATGACATTCTTGTGCTGTCCTTGGAATTAATCTGACAGCAGGAGGGAGCAGACTATGTAAACAGAGATAAGAATTAATTTTCAAAGTTGAAGGGAAAAAAAAGAAAGAAAAAAGAAGAGAGAGAGAAAGAAAGCATCATACAAAGATTTTCTTAAAAGAAACAATTTTGCTTGAAATTTCTTTAGATGGGGCTCAGTTGTCACAGTGGCACTTGGCCTCCACTGGGCAGCAGGACCAGCTCCAAGCGCTAGTGTTCTGTTCTCTTTTTGTAATCTTGGAATCTTTTGTTGCTCTAAATACAATTAAAAATGGCAGAAACTTGTTTGTTGGACTAAATGTGTGACTTTGGGTCTGTCTCTGCCTCTGCTTTCAGAAATGTCATCCATTGTGTAAAATATTGGCTTGCTGGTCTGCCAGCTAAAACTTGGCCACATCCCCTGTTGTGGCTGCAGGATCGAGTTATTGTTAACAAAGAGACCCAAGAAAAGCTGCTAATGTCCTCTTATCATTGTTGTTAATTTGTTAAAACATAAAGAAATCTAAAATTTCAGATGAATGTCATCAGAGTTCTTTTAATTAGCTCTTTTTATTGGCTGTTTTTATTGAAGTCAAGAGTTGGTATCATGCCCAGTTGTGTTTTATGCTATTTTGATTTTCATATATTTTTAAAAGTCTTTGCACAAGGCTTACAAATTTGCCGTGTGGTGGCCTTAGCATAAGCTGACCTGGGACCACCAAAATAACAAGGAATTTGGGCTAGAAAGCACAGATGGACACTGGCAGCCCATCACAACTTCTCTTGAAAAACACCAAACTTGTCAGCTGGGGAAAAGCCACACAAAGCCCAGTTGCCTACTTTCACAACCTTATCCATGTGGGAGCATAAAATGGTGGCATCACTGCCCAGTTCTAACCAAGCTTCAGTTAAAGAATGGGCACCTTCACATCCTCACTATTTTTCAGGGGCCTTACCATCCTCGACCACCCAAGTAAAATCTAAATCAGCCTTCTTTTGGGTTCTTCAGTTCAAGTAAGGCCTCTTCTTGTGGCCTCTCAGTGTGAATACTTACGAGGTTCCAGATTGAATTTTTGGGCCTGAGATACAAGGCATCAATGAGGTGTGACAAAACATGTCAACGAATAATAAGAAAATTCTCTATTCTTCCATATCCTCCCCTGTAATAAGGGTTGTCAGAATGCCTTCTTTCTCGGTTGAGTTGAAGATTCAGTGAGAACATATGTGACACAGCTGGTGGGCTATTAAGCTCTGGCTTTGCTCCCTGTTAAAATGCCAGAACCCTTGAGAGGGATCCCACATTGAGCCATGTTTATCATTGACCACCTTAGAATGGATGGATTTCTCAGATTTTTCCTGAGATCAGTGCTTGATGGAGAGGAGAGGAGAACAATAGATTCTTGGGATGTGTGCTTTGCATGTGTTTAAGTAAGAGACAGAGAGTATGTTTATTTGCAGGTTGTGTGTGTAAATTCAAAGCATGCCTCCAGAGGATTTTCTCTGACCACCATTGCTTAGGTCCTGTTCGTTTGCATCTACAGCGAATGACCTTACAGCAATCTGACTTGGCTTCACTCACCACTCAGCTCCTGCCTAAAGAGACAAGGTGGTTAGCATCCACCATAGGTTTTCCAAGGAGTAGCAAAGCAAAAAGGACACCTAGTGGGTTGAAAAGAGCCTAGAGGCAGGAGTCCTGTATGTGACTTGCCCATAGTCATGAAGCTAGTGTATAGCTAGGATTCTCCCCTGCTGATTTACTATATGACGCTAGGCAGCAATCTGCCCTTTCTGGACCTCAGTTTTCTAATCTGTAAAATGTGTGGAGTAAAACTACATGAGATGGGAAGTCCCTTCTAGTGTGGACGCCATGGTTATTGAAAACTCCAGCAACATCTTTCTTAATCATAAGGGGAAAGAAAAAGACCATTTACTACTCCTAGAACAGTTTTGGAGCTAAATATTCACATTTGTACTCAACAATTATTTACAAAACAACTAGTGTGGGGAGTGTCAAAACAACAACTGAGTCCTGTGGAATAGATATTGTCAACCCCTTGATGGATGAGGAAGGGGCTCAAAAGGGAAATAGTTTCCTATTGAGATTATCTCATAAATGGCAGAGATAAGTAGGAGTTAAGCCCCAGTCCATGCACTGTCTGTACCTTCAATTAGTTTACACTCTATTAAATGCCTTTGTCAGATCACTCTGGAACTTCAATGTATAATACACAACCCCAGTCCTCCAACATCACTCTCTCCAAAGAGATTGAGCTAACCTCTAATTTAGAATTCCTGCCTGTAGAACTAGAAGGGATCTTAGACATTATCCAGCCCTAACTTATTCTTCACATGAGGGAGCTATGCAAAAAAATTTGAATGTCACTGTGAACTAGGACCTGTGTCAAGGGACCAGCCCTAGAACACCCAGCTCCTGGTCCCTTCATGTGCCTGCAGGAAGCATACCAAGGTAATAGGGCACCTGAGAACTTCTACCATCCCCTTGCATATGGGTTCAGAGCCCTAGTGAGAGAGCTTCCACCTCTTGTCTGGCTCCTACATATACAGACCCAGGATCTCTACACCAACTACAGCATCTACTTCACCTACCACCCACTCCCAGGTGTTTTCTTCATGCCACTCTAGGGGAAGGTGAAAGAAGGAGAAAACTGTTGGGGGGAGCTGGAATAGGGACTACAGAGGCAATGAGAACAATTTAGCAAGCATGAGGTATGAGAACTTTCTGAATTAACAGGCAGATGCAGATGGTTCAAATTCTCATATTATCCCGCCACCAATTCTTTTTCAAGCCACAACTTCCCTCCTTCCCTTAGCTCCTTCCCCACAGGGCTTCAAGCGAGGAGAAGGTCATTAGGGGAACCGCATATGGCTGTCAACCACAAGGCTTCATGCCAAACAAGGAGGTTTAATCCAAACTCTATGCAAATAGCCCTCCCCACACCCCCATTAGAGTACTTTGGATCTGAGACCAGAAAACAGCCCAGCAGAGGAAGCAGATGCTGCGCGAGGCACAACACTCACTACCTGGGCAGCAACACTTGTTTCCAAAGGAAGCAGGCCCTTTTGATGTGCGTGCACAGTGCCACGGGTGGCTAATGTCTGTGTTGGACTATATTGTGGGATAATTCCACTGTCTCAAAAGACTGCAAGGATCCCTCACAGGGACATGGTATTCAGTATTCCCCTCACTTATTTGTTCTTTCCTTTATTCAACAGCTATTTATTTGACACAGACAATTGTAATAAAATGTAATGGATGTTATGTTGAGGGAAGTTGGGGATTTTGCTGAGGTACAGAGGAAGGAGGCCTAGCCCAGTCTAGTAGAAAGGTCAAGGAAGGGTTCTTAGAGAAGTCTAGGCTGTGAAACAAGTTGCATGAAGATGGGGCTGGGTGTGGAAAAAGGGGCATTCTTACTCAGACAAGAGACAGTAGCCTAGTAAGGGAAACTCTGATCATTTTAGCCTGAGAGAAGGGTTTGAAGAAGAGTATGGTTTTGAGAGATGAAGGTAAAGAAGGAGGCACAAGCAAAGCCAGCAATGGCCTATACGTCACACTAAAGAGTGACGTATAGGCCTTTATCCCAAGGATGAAGGGGAGTCACAGAAGCCTTTGCCACCATTTCAATTCCTAAAGCACTGTCAGACACATAATCTCATCTAAACCTCATAACATCATGAAGAGGCAGGGGGGTCAGGGATCAGACCCATTTTGCAGAAAGGAAAACTGGCTCATCAAGATGAAGTGATTTGCCCAATGGCTACTCCCAAATAACTGATAGTCCTAAGTCTAAACTGGAAGCCCCAATTCTCCTGATTTACAGTCTCAGTCTATTCACATTACACCAATCTATCAAAGGACCTGGCAGTGCAATTCTTGGAATGTGTTTACATGACTCTGTAGTGAGAGCAGGCATTGCCTACTATCTCACGTGAACCTGGCATGGTCTTCCTGAGGTGACATTCAATGGTACAGGGCTCCCAAATTGCAGACAGGTGACCCCAGAGAAAAGCAGTAGCATCATCTAAAGGGGTAGTGCAGTCTGTGGAAAGCCAGCCAAATTGCTGCTCAATGGGTATGGGGCCTCATTAATTCATCCAAAGAGGAAGTCAAAAAAAAATGATGAAGGAAAAGAGACAACTTTTCACCTTCCTAGAGGAAGTAACATTTGCCACCAGCCTTGAACAACGAGATGAAACTTCACAACAGGAAAAGGTAACTGGGCAGGCAACCAAAGAAGAAGGAACAGATGGACAAATACACAAGAAGCAGAAAAGAGTACGGCTTCTGTTTTGGGACAGTCAAGACAAATGGGAACTAGTGGGGAGTAAGACTTGGAGATGAGTCTGGGCTAGGACCCATTGTGAAAGGCCTCAAGTCCCCTGTTAAGAAGTAGGTTTTCTTCTATAGGCTAGTTATTCTCAGTTGCCACATGTGAAAGATAATGACCATGTGTAGCATACTCTCAAGGGAGCCACTAGGGCTGTATTCAATTCCTGACACACTTAGTTCTTTTTTCTCACACTTAAGAAAGCAAATATGAGTGCAAGTAAGACTGACAGTATTGAAAGGAAAAATCTGAAACTCTTATAGTATGTTTAAATTATCCTCCAACTTCAATGTTTAAAATATTATCAACAAATTATTTGCCACACCTCACATCTGATTACAGAACACTAGTTGAGATAACTAAGGATTTTTGAGCAAAACTGTAACATAATGAGTTTCAGTAGATGGAAACTATACTAAAATTTATTGTGTGAGAATATGATAGAAGATGAATAGAGATTGATTCCAGGGCAAATTAACAACAACAACAGTAAAATTTACTGAGTACTTACTATGTGCCAGAAAATGCTAATGCAAAGTTCTTTACACCATATATGTTCTATAATCCTCACCTCAATCCTACGAGTTGAGAAGTTACCTTCATTATATATATAAGGAAACTGAGGCTCTGACTCAATATTATTGCTGACCTAGACCGAAGGTGACTTTTAAGTAATAAAGCCTAAACTTAAACTCAAGTATATTTGTAAGCAAATCCTGAAATTTTGATCACTACATTACATTTTATTTCTTGAAAGTCTGGTTTGTTTTCTCAAAATCTTTCCAAAAAGCCCAATGAACTCAAAAGCAGGCAGCATTATAAACAGGAATAAAGAGGAAGGCATGTCAATGGAATTGTCTTTATAACCACCCACTCTGAGAATGACAGTTATGCCTGGTGTATAAGAGCTCAGGATTTCCACAGAGCAGCTGCCTCTTCCACAAACTTCAGGTGGGTATTATTGGGAGAATGAAAGTTCTTCTCTAGCCCTACCATCTCCCAAGTGTCTTACTGAGGCTTTTGCTCCCTCTTCTTGTCTCTGGTTACAGGTACCTGTGGTGCAGGAGTTCACTGGGTATCTGAAGAACCTATGAGCATATTTGTCTATAAAGGCAGGCAGAGAGTAAGAACATTGAACCAGGAATCAGTATTTCAGCTGCTGCCACTAACCAGCTTAACTTAAGTA